CGCGCAGAGACAGACGGGCCCCGATCCCGGCGCAGGCCCGGCGCAGCCCCGCGGCCGGAGGGGACGGGGACGAGCGCGACCCCGACCACGGACCGCGGAGCCACGGGACGCCGGTTCGGTCACTAGGATCGGCGGTGGCCGCAGCTCGCTTCCCGTGTCTCCCAGCCCCTCACTCACCGCTGCCATCTTCCTGCTTCGGGCGTCTCCCAAGTCTTCCCAAGGAACCCTCAGCACCTGGGATGACAGCGTGACAAAGGACACAGCGCCATAACGATGGGAGACCCAACCTCCTGCAGTCAGAAGGACCAGCCACGTCCACAGCGCAGGCGCAGTGCATCCTCCAAGTCCGTCTATCGCCGGTACTGATTGGACAGATTCCATGGCCCTGCCCCTTTGCCTCAGAGTGACTGCAGAGTAGGAGGGCATACGGCGAATTTGAATTTAGCTTCTGCGCGGGATTTTCCTAGCTAGGTCATTTACCTTTCAGTGAGATTCTCGCCCCTACAGAGCACTGTCGTGTGTGTGTGTGTGTGTGCGTGTGTGTGTGTGTGTGTGTGTGTGTGTGCATGTGTGTCCGTGTGTGTCAAGCCCACCATCTCACGCCTAAGGAAGTGTGGAAGTGCTGTACTACTGATCCCACCTTCAACCGGAAGACATCTCTAATTGTTCCTGTTTTTTGTGGGGTTTTTTTTGAGACGGAGTCTCTCTCTGTAATCCAGGCTGGTCTTAAACTCATGGCAATCTTCCTGCCTCAGCCTCCTGAATGCTTGGGTTACAGGGATGCGCCACCATGCTGGGCTAATCGTCCTTAAGCTTAAATATATTCATACTGTGAGAATGGCGAACTTGGAGCCCCAAAGTTATGTAGAAACTGCCCAGTTGGGCTGTGCCTCTGTGGTAGTGCTTGCTTCCTTGCCTGGGTTCTTGGCTCAATCCTGAGCATCCCAAATCCTGGGGTAAGGAGACTACGCCCCCGCCAACCTGCTGCACCACAGTGTCCCTTTCTGACACGAAATGTGACCATGAGAGCTTCCTAGAAATACGAGGACACAGCATTTCACATTTTCTGACTGGTTGATTACCCTGACCCTTCACCATGTTATCACAAGGATTGGAACACACATCTTTCCTCTCTGCGGTGGATGGAACTTTGTTCTGCACGTGCTTTACCACTTAGCTACATCTTTGGCCCTATTTTTTATTTTGACACGGTGTCTTCCTAAATTGCCCAGGCTGCCTCGAATTTCCAAACCTCCTGCCTCAACCTCTTGAGTAGCTAGGATTACAGGTGTGCACTACCAGGCCTGACAAGACACACAGTACTCCTTTTTAAAACCAAATATTCTGTGTGTATCATTTTGGTCCATTTAGACATTGATGAGACCCATAGTCTGCTTTTACCTTTTGGATCTTATGAATTATAATGCCATGAACATGGGTGGACAAATACTGGTTTGAGTTGCTCCTTTCAGTTCTTTTGGATTACTCAGAAGTGGATTTCATCCTTTGGTTACTTTTTATTTTAAAGTTATTTGCAATGCTAGAGATCAAATCAAGTACCTCACTTGGGACACAAGTGCTCTACCACTGAGCTCTACTCTCAGCCCCACATGTTTAATATTTTTTAGATGGCCCTTAATATGATGCCCACCCAGCTCAGTTCTTTTTAATGCTGTCTCTCCCCTTTCCCTCTCTCCTTCTTGCACAGGGGACTGAATCTAGCACCTTCACACTGAGCTACAAATCTAAAAACATCCACCATTTTTCAGATGAGGTCTTGCTAAATTGCTAAAATGTCCATGCTGGGTTCAATTTGCAATCCTCCTGATTCAGCCTCCCAGAGTGCTGATATTGGAGGTGTCCTGGTATTACACACTTTGTTTTTAGTTTTTGAGGCACCACCATGGTGTCTTCCAGAGTGGCTGCAGGTTTTTCCATTCCCGCTAATACTGCACAAGGACCCAACTGGTTTTCAGTGATTTTCTTTAATTTTAGGGAATGAAAATAAGAATTAAGATGTGTTATGTACATGTACCAATTCCCACAGAGAATGCACAACATGTATTAATAAAAGATAAAACTTGAAAAAATAAAAGGTAAATAATGTTTTAAATGATTGATTTTGACAGCATCCAGAATACCTATTTTTCTTTTTCTGTTTTCCTTTTGGTGTCGTATACAAGTTTCTTGTCTTCTCCCAAGTCAGGAATAGATTCCTTTGTTTTGTCTGCAAGTATTATCATTTAGCCTCCTAGGTTTAGGTCTTTGATCTATTTTAGTAAATTACAGTATATGGGTTGGAGGTCCTACTTCATTATTTTGGTTTCATTTTCTCAATTAAGTTCAGTATTTTTTATCCAGCTACCCAGTTGTCATAGTAACTGATGAAAAAATCACTTTCTCTATTCTTCTCACTGTGTACTGAATATCAGCTGACCATACACCCAACAATTTATATCTGGAATTTCAGCTCTTCCCTACTGATCTTTGTGTCTAAAATGTCTCATGCATTTTACATTATAATTCTACCACCACTAGAGACTGAGTGGAATAAAGTATGTATCAGAAAACTGTGGGGTTCTTCCCAATTTAGAGAAGGGTTACTCACATGGTTACGATGTAGTCAGAGAACTAAAGAACTACAAGAAGAAAAAACAAGAAGCTGCATGTGGTGGGGCACACATGTAATCCTAGCATTCAGTTGTTTAAGACAGGAGGATCACTGCAAGTTCAAGGCTAGCCTGGGCTACACAGTGAGTTCAAAGTCAGCTGGAATTATACAATGAGACTCTGTCTTGAAAAAACAGAGAACAAAGAAACTCCAGGGCCCTAAACCTGTTGCTCATCAAAAGTATGATTTGTGGGCCAGGGATATAGCTCAACAGAACAGCACCTGCCTGGCAAGCACAAGGCCCTTAGTTCAAGGCCCAGTACCAAAAAAAAGCAGCATTTGTAAATGGGCATGGTGGCACATACCTGTAATATCAGCAAGCAAGAGGCTGAGGCCGGAGGATTGCCATGACTTCAACGCTGGCCTGAGACATATAGTAAGTTCAAGTCCAGCCTGAACTACATGGCAAAACCCTGCCTCAAAAAAAAGCACAGTTTGTGTTGTTTTCTGAAACAGACTGGGACTTAAGAATGGTTTTTCCTACAAATAGTGATCCTTCAAGCATCGGTCAGTGGTAGTGCACTTAAATAGTATAACACCTTGGGTTCAATCCTCAGCACCACCAAGAACAAACAGCAACTCTTCACAGGGCCTACAAATCCTTCACACAGCACATAGGCACGCTGGCCATTTAGGGAGTCTATCAGCATTGGCCAAATTACATTTAAGGTCTCTTCCCCTTACAACTACCTAGCCTATTTCATAAGCCTCAAAGACACCCTTTAGTTTTTCCTATTACTTTCAGAAAGTTATATCTGACATCCTCAAACAGGGGAGTTTTGATGTCTTTTTATACAAAAGTGGCTGGAAGATTTGAGGGATTTTGTGCATTGATGTGTCTGGTATTACAGATGGAACCCTGAGCCTTTGACATCTAAGCAAACAAGTGCATCTGCATTCTGGTCTTAGTTACTTTCTAGTCACTGACAATATCAACACTCACTAGTTAAAAGAGGAAATATTTATTTATTTACAGTGTGTAGAGGTTTCAGGGCAGCATGGAGTAAGAGGAAGAGCTCATGGCATGGTGGCAGGAAGCAGGGAGAGATCAAGGAAGGGGGGAAGTAGTAGACTCATCCATTGATGATATCACACCCCTATATTCCAATCACCTCCTGAAACCCCCACCTATGAGTACATGAGGATTTGGGGGGAACATCTACATACTGTGTACACCATAATAGTGAGCCACTCTAACAAGTGAATAGAACCTAAAGAGGGCACGGTAGGAACTTCAACTTATATCAGTCATTCAGAAGCTCTCAGCCAGGTATAGTGACATACACATGTAATCCCACCATTCTACCAGGCTGAGGAAGGATGATCATAAGTTTGAACCCAGCCTGTGCAATTTAGCAACTTAGTAAGACATTGTTCCAAAATATAAAATTTTAAAAGGCCTAAGGATGCAGTTCTGTACAAACGCTCTGGGTTCAATCTTCAATGCCCCCAAAAAAAGGAAAAAAAGTTATTCTGAGGATCCAGACTTGTGATTTTTATTGAAAATAGAAAATAGATTTATAGGGCTGAACCCTCAGCCTGTGAGATATGAAATTAGCTAGCTCAGAGTGCAATGGGATGGAATGAAATGGGGAATGGAAAATGGAATGGAAAAGCCCCTCTGATGTCCTCTTCAAATCTGCTTGCTTGTTGGCCACTTGGGAGAAATCCCAACACATTTAGCATTACAGGAGTGATCCGTGTTACGAATGTACAGTAGGAAAAACTGGATTTTTACTGTATACTGTTGTGTCAAAAATAGTACTTAGAACAGCCCTGGCTCACAGACACGTGTGATTTGGGAAGAGAAGGGATGAAAGTGTAGGGAACGAAGAACCTTCGATCCCTGTAGTGCTAACTCATCACCCATAGTAGGAAACTACAATAAAATTCCCAATAGAGGCAGCCAGCTGTGGTAGTGTTGCCTGTAGTCCGAGCTGCTTGAGAGGTTGAGGCATCACTCAATCCCAGTTCAAGAGAAGCTTGGGCAATATGGCAAGACCCCGTTTCAACAACAACATATGGTCTTTGTTTTGCTTTTTTAGATTTTGCCTTACTGAACCCAGGGCTTTCACACAGAGCTACCTCCCCGGCTTTTGTTTTATTTATTTTGAGACAGAGTCTCACTAGTGGCTAAGTTGCAATCAAATTGCAAATATTCTGTCCCAGACCCCCAGAGTTCTAGGATTACAGACCTGCACAACCTTGGGTCTCGCTATGTGGTTCAGGTTGCCCTTGAACTCAGTATAGCCCAAGCTAACCTTGAACTCGTGAGGAGCCTCCTGCCTCATCCTCCCCTGGGCTGGAATTGCAAGCGTGCACCACAAGCCCAGTTTAAATGGCTGTTGCCCAAGGGGCTTAAGATAGCCTAGGATAATTTTGGTTTTCAACCTGAGGTTTTACTCAACCGATCTGAAACACCCTGCAAGAACTTTATCGATGCAGTTTCTTTAGAGTACTTCAGCTTCAGAGGACGCTCTTAAAACTTTATCCAAAATCAATTTCCACCGGAGAGTTTTATGGAGCACACGGTTGGTCTGTAGTTCCCCTGTATTTGGGACTAAACCCAGAACCTTCACACTGAGCTACGTCCTCAGCCTGCCTTGGTTTTTTTTTGAGACCGGGTCTGTCAAAACTGGGCTCAAATTTCCCATCCTCCTGCTTCAGCTTTGCAGACTTGTAAGATGCTCCAGGTGAGCGCCACTAGGCCTGGCTATGATGAGGTAATTTTTAAACGTCTGCTTGTAAAATAGGGTCACACCTCCCGGAATAGCCTCGTAGCATTATGCCAAGCCCCTGTTCCATGTAGGGCATGTGATCCTCTGATTCCAGAGCGTCCTGGCGCAGACGACCCTCTTGCTTTGTCCTTGCTCCCCAGTGGGTCGCTCCATTCGGACACTCAACTTCGAATTCCCTGGGTACGCCTGGCTCCCCGACTGAAAGAAGCACTTGACGGACACTCCACGGGAACCCTCCGCTCAGAACACGCTCTGCTTCTACATAGAAAGCGGAAGTCCAGCTGAGTCTGCTCAACCAATTGACCTTCCGGACTGTCAATCAGCCGAAGGAGGGCGGGCCTTCCGGAGCGCTGCCGGAAGGTGAGTATGCCCACGTTACGCAAAGGCACGTGACGTCACAGTGCGTTTCCGTCGCCGCCCGCTCCTAGTGCCCGGTTGCCCTTTAACGCCCTCAGGTGGTAGCGCTTAGTCTCCTTCGCTGGGGTTGGAGCTGTGGAGAGGTCTCGACAGCTGGGAGATGGTGAGTGCGGGCCTGGCCGTCCCGGAGCTGGTGGCGGCGGGCGCCGACTCCTGGAGTACGCGGTGGGGGTCGCGCTCGGTCTGAGTCCCCCGCGCAGGAGGGGCTGGGCCAGCATCGAGACCCTGGGTTCTGTCGATGCCTGGACTGTGAGGCGGATCGCCCCGGAGCCCGCTGTGGCACCTCCCCGACAGCGCGCGAGTCCCAGCCTGTGGGGGGCGGGAGGTGGCGGGAACCCTGCGCCCTGGAGTCCCCGGCCCCCGCACTGTCCCAAGGGGCAACCTGGCCCCCACCCGCGTCTTCCAAAGTTCTTTGAAAACAGGATCTCAAATTTAGGGCCTTTTTACCTAGCCTAACTCTTTCTAGGGCTCGTAATAAATCCCGAAATTTCCAGGACCTTACCCGGTAATGTCAGCTTCCCCTCTTCAATTCAAAGCGTGCTTAGCCCTGTTTGCCCTCGTGGTGGGTTTGAAACATTCTCAGTATTTTATTTTAATTTATTTTTATTAGTAGTGTTTGCAGTACCTACTGATTACATTCGTCGTAGGGAGTTGGTGCATGTGCATGACACATCTTAAGTCTTTTAATGTCTTCTTCCCCTCTTCTTCCCCTGCCTTCATCCCTCGATCTCCTTCACATTTGCAAAGGACCTAGCTTCCTGTTTGCTATTATATGTCATTTGTTTTTACTCTGTATTTATACTTTAGATTTCTCATATAAAAGAAACCATATATTATCAGTATTTTATTTCTTTGTTTTTGGGGGGTTGTTGTGTTTTGTTTTTGAGACAAGGTCTTGCTGTGTTGTCGAGGCTGGCCTTGGACTCACTGTGTAGCCCAGGCTGGCCTCAAACTTGTGGCGATCCTCCTTCCTTAGCCTTCTAAGTAATGGGATGACAAGCATGTGACACCATGCCTAGCTACTGGCAGTATTTTAATAACCATTTTCCATAGTGCCATGGATGTCTCTTTCTGAAACATTCCTTTCCTACAGAAATTTTTTCTGAGAGAGAAGCAGAAAATAAGCATCTCAATCTCCATGGTATAGACTCTGTGCCTTTGCCCCACTTTCTTTCCTGGGCAGACATCCTAAGGAACTTCTTTGGCCTGAGATTCCTCTGCAAACTTTCCTAGATGACGTGTGCTGTAAGCACACCTCCAGGTCAGCACCACGCCTCACTGGGCTTTGTGACCTTGCAAGTATTTGTTCTCTTGAGTCTCGTTTTGTTCAATAGATGTTTACATGTATAGAGTGAGTAGAGCTTGAGAAATAGTGTGAAATAGGTCCCGAGGCAAATCTATAGAACAATAACATATTCCATGTATGCAGAGGTAGCTCAGTGGTAGAGCAATTACCTATTTTGTGCATGACCCTGAGTTCAACCCCAGACCTGCAAGTACATAAGTGTTTCAATATTACATTGCATGAATTAAAAATTCCTGTCTCCATTTGTTCTTAGCACATAGGTTTTTGGTTGGTTTTCGGTTAAACGTTCAAAAGTTGGATTTGTTTGTAAACCCAAAAACCAAACACACACCAAAAAAAATACTGTAAATAAACTATTTTTATTTGTACATAGCAGCATGTAGCAACACAACTGTGACAGTGTCTGACAGACACGTGAGCTACTACCACAATTTGTTTCATGTTCATAATGCGAGGTCTGTTTGTTTCTGGTAAAATTTACAATTCAAGTGTTCATAAGTCGAGGACTTATTTTATTTTATTTTGCTTATGTATTGGGTGCTAGGGATTGAACACAGGCCCCTTCACATGCCAAATACACACTCCACCACTTAAACTACACTTGCTTTTATTTTTGTGGTTTCAGGTGAAATACCTTGGGTTAGACTTGTAAGTCTACCATGGCCTAGATCTGTACATACTCAAATATGATGAATATTTTAAGGAATAGCTTAGCAAACCACTTTTTGCAATGGAAATCACTAACCAACATCTCATTTTCTGAAAGCAACACAAATGTATGAATTTCTTCTTCCCACCTCACCCCAGTACCCAGGACCTTCACAGTGAGCTCTATCCCCAGCCATTTTTTATATTTTATTTTGAGATTAGGATTTATTAAAGCACTAGGTTGCCCATGCTAGGCTTGAACATGTGATCTTCCTGCCTCAGCCTCCCAGAGTGGTAGATTAGGCATGAGGCACCATGCCCAGCTAAAGCCATACTTTGAGCACAGAAAGGGAAGTAATCAAAGCCCCCATTGTTTCTTCCTGAAGAGCCTACTCCAGCAAATGTCTCAGCACTCACAGCCCATCACAGAAGAGCACATGTACTGCAAGAAGCTTCCTGGAACTGGCAGCTGGGGATCCACATGTACATGTAGCTGGAAAGTATTGGAGGATGGAACCCTTTCTGAGGCTGTGGGATTGTTTTGTTTTATTTGAGATTGATCTGCTTTGTTGCCCAAACAGGCCTTGAATCCCTAGATTCAAATGACTGTCCTGCCTCAGCCTCCTGAGTAACTGGGACTATAAGCATGCACCACCTTTTTGAGGTTTTATTTTGGTTTTTGTTTTATTTTGTTGAGCTTTTTGCATTTTTTAGACTGGGTCTCACCGTGTAGCTCAGGCTGGCCTTGAACTCAGTATGATATCCAGGCTGGCCTTGAATTCGAGGCAAACCTTCTGCCTCAGCCTCCAGAGTGCCTCCAGTATACCTTTTTGAGATTTTAATAGTGGTTTTCTTGGGCTTGTTTTTAGACATTATGTTTGAGCTTTACATCTGTAAAATAGATGCATTTGTGCATTTTGAGAAATTCTTTAAAGATTGAGACTTGTGTTTCCTGAACTTAAAGGAATGCATTTGGAAGCTCATTTGAGCCAGAACCTCAGTGTCTGTCTGGTGGAGTTGGCTAGGTCTGCAGTTCAGTAGTAGAGCACTTGGCTAACATGTGAAAGGTGCTGGGTTCCATCCCCACTACTCCAGGGAAAAATAAAAATCCCCTGGAGGAATGGGAGCCTTGGGAGAGGAGAGTGTGGGGCTCAGGCAGTTGCAGCTCAGGGACCTGTCCTGCATCGTGATGGGCTGACCCTGACCAGGGCATGTACCTCTCAAGCTGGCAGAGCCTGACAGCTCTTAGTTTGGTATTTTAGTGACTTTTCTCATTATAAAGACAAAATACCCAACACCTAAAGTTAAAGGAGAAAAGGTTTATTTATGCTCACAGTTTGTATAGGTTTCAGGCTCTAGTTGGCTAATTCCCAAGCAGAATAGCCTGGTGTTTCAGAGGAGAAACAGTCCATGGCTTGGTAGGCAAGAAGGCAGCAAGCCTGCCTACCCTCTCCCTTTATATTCTACTCAGGCTACAAGCCTGTTGATTGATGCCACCCACACCCAGGGTGGGGTTTCCATTATCCACACCCTTAATCCAAGTCTCACACTTTCAATCCACATTCACCCACCCTAGTCCAGCCACCTTCAAAACTCCCCACCTGTGAGCTCCTGAGGCTTTAGGGGAATGTCCACATACAAGCCATAACACTTGGGAGTATGTTTCATTCCTGTTCTCATTTGTGGGGATTGAACTCATGACCTTCACAGTGAGCTGCTTATTTTTTGAGACAGGGTCTTGCTAAATCACTAACTTGTCCAGGCTGGACTCCCAACTTGTAATCCTCCTAGCTCAGCCTCCCAGAGTGAAGGGCTAACAGATGTGTGCCAGCACCCCCAGCCTAAATTAACTTCTGAATGTGAGTTTACCTTCTGAACAATGAAGAAATGGGATGCACTGTTTGTGTGAGCTGCTTTTCTTACCAGAATATTAAGATGAAAGCTCCCAATAAACCAGGCTCGGCCACTCACACCAAAATGCCAGGCAAGGAGAGGAGCAGAGGTGTGGGGCAGGAAAGGAGCTTTACTCCACATGGCCAAGATGGGAAGGACAGGGAAAGAGAGTCAAGAGCAGTCTTCAAATCCCAGCACTTGGGAGGCTAAAGCAGAAGGAGCTCCACAATTTTGAGGCCAGGCTGAGCTACATAGTAAGTTCAAGGCCAGACTGAACTACATAGTAAAACCCTGTCTCAAAACACACACACACACACACACACACACACACACACACACACACACGCAAAACAAAGTAGCTGACAGAAACCTTGGGGTTTTATTTTTTTAAAAAAGGGAACAGAGGTGAGGGATGGGGTTTGCAAGACAACTGGTTTCAAAGTAGTCTAATTAATCAGGATCTCAGACTGATTCTGAGGTTCTGGAGCACTCATCAGCACTTGCAGTGGGTAGTTTGTTTCCCACTGTGAGATAACAGCTTCTGCATGGGGGCAACCTCACCTTCCTTCAGGGGGTTTGCTTCATTATGGGGTGTGCTGCACTTTCCTAAATTCGGGTGGACTACACATTTGGGATTTATTTCTTTTTTTTTTTTTTTTTTTTGGTTTTTCTCCGGTACCGGGAACCGAACTCACGACCTTGCGCTTGCCAGGCAGGCGCTTTTGCCGCTGAGCTAAATCCCCAGCCCCTGGGACTACAAAGTTTCTCGGAATCACTCCCTGGGATCTGAAACAAGTCACTGTAAAAGCTGACAATTGGGTATCTCTATAAATCCTGAAAATTACTTTGGTCACACTTACCTTTTTCTTCTTCTGTGGGTTTTTTGAGACAGGGTCTTGCTATGTAGTCCAGCCTAGCCTCAAACAGCAATCCTCCTGTCTCAGCCTTCCAAGTCTGCGATCACAGGTATGCACCGCCATGCCTGGATCCATTGCCCCTCAATAGCCTAGCTTCTCCTGTTCTTAACTTGAAAAGAATAAACAGCACCTCATCGTGGATTACTATGGTCTTACTTCTGTGGTGTCACACAACACCCAACTTCATGGAAGTTATGCCACTCAATGAATGCCTAGAAAATACTCTGATATCATTAATTTGCCTAAGACTGGTCTGGTCTGTTGTATTCCATGTTTTGTTTTATTGTTTTGTTTTTGTTTTCTTTGTTGTTTTTAATTTTTTTTTTTTGAGACAGGGTCTCACTATGTAGCTCAGGCCTTGAGCTTGTGGGCCATCCTCCTGCCTCAGCTTGTCAAGTGCTAGGATGACAGGCATATGCCATCCTGCCTAGCTGAACACTTTGACAGTGTCTTTGAAGACCCTTTCTCAACAGAGGTTTCGGCACCTTTCTCTCCTGCCTCATAACATCACATATGATGACCATAAGTTGTCAGAGGCTTCAAGGCAGGAGTCTGCTCGCCCTACCCCCTGCTTGGATGCTGTAGAGCTCAGTTAACCACCACAGACCAGGTTGTCGTGGAAGTAGAGATGTCCGTGGGCCTCATCACATGACCTCTGCCCTGCAGCTGCCCTGGGCCTTGTAACAGTGTGGGCTCTGCCCACAGAATGGACCCACACTCTGGTCCTACAGCAGGGGTGACCTCTCACCTTAGTCACCCCAGGACCATGTTGGAGGAGCCACTCCTCTCCCAGCCCCTTCATCTGCTTGCAGGGCTCCAAGTGGACAGCAGGGGGAGCTCTTGGGCATTCCAGGCAACCTCACCCTACAAGGTGGTGCTGGTCAAGTCACTGCTTCTCCTCCCTTCATGCAGATGTCCCTGAAGCAAGCATCAGGTCGTCATCTTGTCACTGGCACTGCCCAACGTGGCCCCATTTGTACATCTTTACACACTGGGTTTATCTAAGACTGTTCCTTTATGGCAGAAGAACTCTGGTAGCCGGGTGTGGTGCCGAATGCTGTCATCTGAGCACTTGGGAGGCTAAGGCAGGAAAATTGCAAGTTCAAGCCCCACCTGGGCAATTTAGCCACTTAGTGAGACCTTGTCTGAAAATAAAAAGGGCCGGGAATGGGCTTAGTTTGAAAACCCTGGGTTCAGTCCACAAAAGCCAATGCTGCATTTGCAAACAGAGCTGCTCATACCCAAGGCACACATTTCACCTCTGCATACATACTCCAGGGCTGCTAAACACAGCGTCTCTGAGACATCCACCTGCCTCACTGATCTCTGACTCAAAACACCATCATGGCTCATGTAGGGTCAGATATACTGAAAAGTGGCACATTTCATCTGTCTTTCATGAGGGATGAAGTATAATGAGTGTCCCCCCCACCCCCGCATCAACTTTACTCTTTTTTTCTTTATTTTGTATTTTCAGGGCCAGGGATTTAACCCGGGGCCTCTCACACATGCAAGGCAGGTGTTCTACCACTGAGTCCTTGTCGGCCTGTTCTTTCTTTCTTTCTTTCTTGGCAATACTGGGGGTTGAACCCTGGGCCTTGGCCCTGAGCTACATCCCCAGCCCTTTTTATTTTTATTTTGAGACAGGATCTCATTGGATTGCCCACACTGGGCTGAAGTTTATGATCCTCCTGCCTTGGCCTTCCAGAGTGCTTAGATTGTATGCGTGTACCACCATGCTGTACTTTTCCATTTTCTTACAGTTACTTGCCACCCTTTTTTAATGCTTTTCTTCCCCTGATGCTGCTGGAATGGACCCCTGAGCCTCATGCATGCTAGGCTAGCACTCTCCTGCTGAGCTACACCCCAGGCCCCACTGCCTCTTTTTAAGACACACATGATGGTAGGTTGATGTAGTCTTTTCTAATTATACACCTAGCTTATTCACACTTTTTGATGCCAAAACTCTGAATTAAAACACGGATTGCAAATGAACAGGTACAAATTAAGTTCTCTTCTGAACTTTTTTTTTCAGTCTTAGGGATTGAACTCAAAGCCTTCACACCAAACTACATTCCCTAATCCTTTCCTTAGTTTTCATTTGAGATAGAGTCTTACTAAGCACCTAAGTTACCCAGCCTTGGCTCCAACTTGAGATCCTCCTGCCTCAGCCTCCTTACAGCTATATGCCACCACACCTGGCTAATTTCCTTTTTGTTTTGTTTTATTGGCAGTACTAGGAATAGAAGCCATGAAAAACTTATGCAAGCTGGGTAGGCACTCCTACCACTGAGCTACCCACTACACACACTCCCCACAAGACCATGGAATTATATTTAAGGTTTTTGGTGGTTTCTTTGCCTCTGTAAGTTTCCTACAAGCTGTAGTCTAAGCCCATAGACCATCATCTATTCACTTGCCCATTCTCATGATTATGGTGTTTGGGGCTTTTTGCTTCATGAAAACTACTAATTTCTGTTTTAGGCTCCAAGTACAAATACACAATAAATTCTCTGGAAATCATATTTAAAATTGCTAGATCCTGGTCAAGTTAAAACATCCAGGAAAAAGGCAGTGGAGTGTATCAGTTGACCCTTCCTTCATTTTACATAACTATTCTCTGTAGTCATCTACACAATGTAAAATTTAAAGAGGGCTAGATAGGTATCCCAGTGTGAAAGCTTTGTGTTCAATCCTCAGTACTGGGGCAAGGAAAAATAGATATAAGTGAGCTTAGGAGTGCATGCCTATAATACCAGCCCTCTGGGAGGCTGAAACTAAAGGATCACAGTTCAAGCCCAGACTGGGCAACTTTGTAACTTAACAAAATAAAAAATAAATAAAAAGTGTCAAAGTTGGGACTCAGTGAAAAGGCCTGGGTTCAATCCCCAGTACCACAAAAGGGGGGGATATAATTCCATGTGTTCTGCGTGACTGTGACTGTGAACAAAGAATAAAACCTCTGACAACCAAACCATATAGTAAATGTTTGGAACCACATAATCACAGAACTATATGTGAACTTGTTAATTTGAGTATAGGTCCCAAGCACTATTGATTGCATTCCTCCTATATGTATGTGTGGGATATTTCAGGACTCAGTGGCCTTTCAGGATGTGTCTGTGGATTTCAGCCAGGAGGAATGGGCTCTGCTGGATCCTTTACAAAAGAAGCTATACAGAGATGTGATGCGGGAAACCTTCAGGAACCTGGCTTATATAGGTAAGGATGACATCACCCTCTTACTGAACCAATCAGAGAATGAGTATTTCTTGTTCATTGTTACTATTCCCATTTTAGAATGTAAAAAGTGGGATATAGATATTTTGCAAAAGGAAGGAGCCAGGCATGGTGGCACATGCCTATAATCCCAGCACCCAGAAGGCTGAGGCCGGAGAATCATCCTGTTGAGGCCAGTCTGCACCACATAGCAAGACCCTGTCTCAAGAGGCAGGGGAGGAGTTTTACAAAAGGTGGAGGGGAAAGGAGGGGAAGCGGACATGAAAAGATTTAAGATATGTTATGTGCATATACCAATGCTCCACAATGAATGTGATAATTATGTACTGCAAACATCTACTAATTTAAAAAATTGCAAAAAGAAATGGAATTCCTGGCGTGGTGGTGCACACCTGCAATCCCAGCACTCAGGAGACTGAGGCAGGAAGATCATTGCAAGTTTGAGACCAGCCTGGGCTACAAAGTAACCTCAAGGTCAGCCTGAACTACATAGTGAGACTCTATCTCAAGAAGACAAAAAAAAAAGAAAGAAATGGAATGTGGAGAGTGAATATGTTGAATAAATACACCAGGCATGATTGTGGACCTGGCACAGTAATGATGAAATTTTTACAGCTTTCATGATAACAAATAGCCCACTGTACTACCCATGCTATAGGTTTACCACCAGTGACCTAGGATCTAATAATGTTTCTATGATTTCTAGTAATTTATAAGATTTTCTGCATCTCATTTTTAGGGAGCAAATGGGAAGATCAGAACATTAAAGATCAGTACATAAAACAGGGAAGAAATCTAAGGTGAGTTATACACACTAGAGAAAGTAATGTCCCTTGAAAGAATCATTATATATGGGATCTTTTAGTATGAAAATTACTATAGGTCTGGGGATTTAGCTCAGTAGTACAAATCCCGAGTTCAATTCCCAATACCAAAAAAAAAAAAAAAAAAGAAAAGAAAGAAAAGAAAATTACTATGAAATTTTATGGGGTTGTTTTGAGCCATGAACTCACTATGTAGCTGAGGCTGGCGTAGAACTCACAGTGATCCTCCTGCCTCAGCCTCTTGTATAGGTATGCACCACCATACCTGGCCTACTATGAAATTTTAAAAGCAAGCAAACCAAAGAAATCCTAGCCTCGAATTTATTTTTTCTTCAAAATTTTCACCACAAAATGTTTCCTTAAGTGAAAAAGACGTTGAATGTTTGAAAAATATTTTACTTGGAAACAGTATTAAGAAACCCTATACAGCTGGGTGTGGTGGCACACACCCAGGATTTCTCAGTTAATCCCATACAGGAAAGGATGTTGTAATGTTCCTTGCAGAACTCTGTGAAGGGTTAAATCTGTATCTGAGGTCATCTGGAGGCACAGACTGACAGCATTAACGTCATAACTCAAGATTTTGGTCATAAGTTAAAACCAAAATTCCAGTTATAACCCAAGTTGTTCATATGTCAGGCCAGACATAACTCAAGGGTCCACTGTATATAAATGTCACAGTGCTTAGAGTTTAGACATAAGAGTACAAGATTGAGTGTGAGATTATTTATATTTAGTTACTTTTTTTACTACTACAAAGCTTTTCAGTGAACTAACAGACACTAGCAGTACAAATGAAACAAATTATATGTTCCTTTATTTTAGGATGAAGTCTTGCTGTGTTGCCAAGGCTAGTCTCAAACTCTTGGGCTCAAGTGATCTTCCCATCTCCACCTCCCTAGTAGCTAAGACTATAGACATGTACCAGTATTCCAAGCATGAATGAAACTGGTTTTATAATAGCTATAGAGTGTCCCTATTGTAGGGCATTGAGTATATTCACTTTCAAAACAGTTCAAACAGGCCAGAAAACATACAGTTTCTCCAAAAACGATGAAAGCTAGGGATATAGTCCAGAGCACAAGCGCCTGCCTGGCAAGAGCAAGGTCCTGAATTCAATTCCCAGTACCCGCCCCCCCCAAAAAAAACTGATGAAATTATCAGTCTAATACCTGGTAATAAACATGAAATAATAATTATTACTGTGCCTGTAATTTTTTACAGAAGTTTTTTGATACAGAGACTCTGTGAAAGTAAAGAAGGTGATCAGTATGGAGAAAACTTCAGCCAGATTTCAGATCCCACTAGGACCAAGAAAACCACTGGAGGAAAACCATATGAATGTACTGTTTGTGGGAAGGGCTTCATGCTTCATTCATCCCTTACAAGGCACATTAAATCTCACCCTGGACATGAACTTGATGGATTTCGATATGGAGAAAAGCCATATAAATGCAAAGAATGTGGGAACACCTTCAGTTATCTCAAATCCTTCCAAAGACATGAAAGGAATCACACTGGAGAGAACCCTTATAAATGTAAACAGTGTGGGAAAACCTTCATATATCACCAGCCCTTTCAAACACATGAACTCACACACATTGGAGAGAAACCCTACCAATGCAAGCATTGTGGGAAAGCTCTCAGTTCTCCCAGTTCTCTTCGAATTCATGAAAGGATTCACACTGGAGAGAAGCCCTATGAGTGTAAGAAATGTGGGAAAGCCTTCAGCTGTCCCAGTTCTATTCAAATCCATGAGAGAACCCACACTGGAGAAAAACCCTATACATGTAAGGAATGTGGGAAGGCCTTCATTTCCCGAACAAGTGTTCAGACACACATGATAACACACAATGGAGACAGACCTTATAAATGTAAGGAATGTGGGAAAGCATTCATTCGTCCCAGTTTTTTACGTGTACATGAACGAATTCACACTGGAGAGAAACCCTATGAATGTAAACAATGTGGTAAAGCCTTCAGATGTTCTACTTCCATTCAAATTCATGAAAGAACTCACACTGGAGAGAAACCATATAAATGTAAGGAATGTGGGAAAGCCTTCAGTGCTCGCCCTGCCTTCCGAGTGCATATGAGAGTGCACACTGGAGAAAAACCCTATAAGTGCAAAGAATGTGGGAAAGCTTTCAGTCGTCTCAGTTACTGTCGGGTACATGAAAGGACTCACACTGGAGAAAAACCCTATGAATGTAAAAAGTGCAGGAAGACCTTCAACTATCCTCTAGATTTGCAGATACATGAACGAAATCACACTGGAGAAAAACCTTATGAATGTAAGGAATGTGCAAAAGCCTTCATTTCTCTTGAAAACTTTCGAAGGCACATGATAACACACACTGGAGATGGACCTTATAAATGCAGTGATTGTGGGAAGGCTTTCATTTTCCTCAGTGCATTGCGAACACATGAAAGAACTCATACCGGAGAGAAGCCTTATGAATGTAAACAGTGTGGGAAAGCCTTCAGTTGTTCTAGTTATGTTCAGATACATGAAAGGACTCACACTGGAGAGAAACCCTATGAATGTAAGGAATGTGGGAAGGCCTTTATTTACCCCACAAGCTTTCAAGGACACATGCGAATGCACACAGGAGAGAAACCCTATAAGTGTAAACAATGTGGAAAAGCTTTTAGTCTTCGCAGTTCTTTTCAAAGACATGAGAGAACTCATAGTGGAGAGAAACATTTTGAATGTAAGCAGTGTGGAAAAGGTTTTACTTTGTCCACATCCTTAAATAAACATGTGAAGTTGCACAGTAGATAGAAGTGAATGAGAATGGGGGAACATTTTCAGTTTCAACAAACGGTGTTCAGTCATGGCTTCCCACTAGATGCAAAGTAGTCATGTACGTCTTAGTTACTTTCTTATTGCTGGAACAAAATACCCAACACCCAATATATAGAGGTTTCAGTCCATAGTCAGTTGACTCCATGGCAGGAGAGAAACAGCCCATGGCAGGCAGATAGAAAGCAGCAAAGACTTCCGTTTTGTTCCTTTGTATTCCAGGCTAGTAGCATATTAAGGGGTGCCACCCAAACCCATGGTGGGGCCTTCAGTAAATCCAGTCAGCCATACCCAGAACTATTGTAATCCAAGTAGAGGACTAATGCACCTTTAATCCATATTTACATACCAGAGACCCAGCCACCTCTGAAAAGCCCTACCTATGAGTAAGAGTGATGTGGCTTTGGGGAGACATCTAGATATGCACTATAACAATATATGATGAGCCAGAAAATTCAAAATGTGAAAGAAATGTTATAAAATTCAAACGTTCTTATACCACTAGGTTTTTGGGGGGAGAGTTGGGGGATTTTTTGGAGTTTTAGGGAATGAAATTAGGGCCTTGCATATTGTGTGCTCTACCACTGACTACACCCCCAGCTTAATGGTGGACTGTGTGCCTAGTGTGCACAAGACCCTGGGTTTGACCTCTAGCACAGCAAAAGGAAAACAGCCAGAAGTGACAGCACATACCTATAATCCCAACACTCAGGGGGCTGAGGCATGAGGTAGGACGCTGTCAGTTCAAGGCCAACCTGGGCTCCATAATGAGTTCAAGACCAGCAAGATTCTGTCTCAAAAAAAGGAAAAAATAATGAATAGCATAAGAGTTGATTGTTCTACCATGTTACACAGTGACTGCCCTCCCTCACTCCTTCCATGTGGGGATAATCACTTTCCTTTCATGAGGCGTTCTGGATTTTTCTTTACTGCTAAATGCACTCAGTACATATCCATGTCTGCTCACCTGTTTGTGATTAAAAACAATGTGTATTTTTCTTGTGAAGCAAAAGCTTCTGTAAATATTTCTTAGAAATATTGTATTAACTGTTTTCAGACAAGTTGTACATTAGCAATATTACTGTCATCTCCATCTCCTGAGAGGTTATATTAAAATATACCATTGCACATATGGATATTCAGACCAACTTTTTTTATTTTGTCAAGATCTAACATTCTAGCTCATCGTAAGAATATGCATACAATTTCAGGTATTTTCCTTGGGCATGTTTCATTTGTATACTTAACAGATCTGTCATGAAACTAATGTTTTATTCATGCATGATTAAAACAAAATTTAAGCCATCATTCTGTTCCTGCCCTATTGCCAAAGATCACTGAGGTCACACAAGTAGAAAAGTGAATACTGAATTGTAGTAATAACGTACCCAAATGCAAAATGACTGGAATTATCAATTTAAAAGTGCCAAATAGGTGATTTTACATCATTTTCACTTGCCGTAGGTGATTTTGTTACTATTCAAGGAGGCAAAACACTTGTCCATCCTAAATACTGTTGGGAGATGAACATAAATCTGTCATTAGGAATGCTGAGGAAAGTCAGGCGTGGTAGCACAAACCTGTAATCCTAGCACTCGGGAGGCTGAGGCAGGAGGATCGTTATGAGTGCATGACCAGCCTGGGCTATAAAGTGAGCTAAAGGCCAGCCTGAACTGCCTAGCAAGACCCTGTCTCAAAAAGATTTAAAAGAAAATGATGAAGATTTTTTTTTCTATAAAGTAAAAGAAATAGGAGCTAACTCTTCATAAGAAGTGCCAAACAACAAGGGGAGTGGTGCATAGCTGTAATCCTAGCACCCAGGGAAGCTGAGGCAAGACGATCACAAATTCAAATGCCAAATGATCAACTTAGACCCTATCTTTTTTTAAAGAAAAAAAGCAATGTTACAAAATTCAAAATAAGATAGTAAGAGAGTAGCAATGATTTAACACATTGTATATTATCTTCAAAGTAGTTATTCAGATCATAAGATGCAGGCATGAAAAATTGATCAAACAATATAAGCACAAACCTTTTCAATGAACTAATACAAATTTGTAGTATAACTATCTTAACTATCTTGTATATATACATATATTTTTATTTATGTTTCTTTTTCCCACTTTTCTCCTTTCCCTCATCCCAGTTTCTGTTTCCTTTTGAATAGTTTCTTCCCATTTCACAATATTTATTGTGCATTTTGGATTTTATTTACTCTTTCAGCATCCTACACTAGGAAGACAATATAATGTTTACACATGGGAGTCTGATTTATTTTACTTATGAATATTGTCTCAAGTTGCATCTATTTACCTATAAAAGTCTCCAGTTTAACCTTCTTTATAGCTGAGTAGTACTCCTTTGTATAAAAAGACCACATCTTTGTCCATTCCTTGGTTGATGGTCTGTTTCCAAGATTTTGCTATTACAAATTGTGCTACTATAAATATGGGTGCACATATATTGCTGTGGTATGGTGTTTTTTATTTTTCTGGGAAGATACCCAGAAGGGGAATAGCTGGGTCTAATGGGACCTCTAATTCTAGTTTCTTGAGGAATTTCTACACTGATTTCCATGGTGGTTGCACTAGTCTACACCATCAGCAATGGTGGAGAGGGGTTCCTTTTTCCCCACAGCCTCTCCAGCATTTCTTATTGGTTGATTTCTTGATGATAGCCGTTCTTTCTATGGCTATTCCATCTCTGATGAGGTGGAATCTGTGGCGGGGGGGGGGGAGAGGTATTTTTTTGTTGTTTTTTGTTTCTCTTCCAGTACCAGGAATTGAACTCACGACCTTGCACTTGCCAGGCAGGCGCTTTTGCCACTGAGCTAAATCCCCAGCCCCTGTGTTGTTTTAATTTGCATCTCTCAAATGATCAATGATGTTGAACATTTTTTCATATATTTATTTGCTATTTGTATTTCTTCATCAGATAAGTGCATCTTCATCACAGATGCCCATTTTTCACTGGGTCTTTCATTTGGAGAGTCTGATTTTTTTTCATGCTTTAGATGTAAGTCCTTATCTGAGGGACAGTTGGCTACAATTATTTCCCATCTATGGGTTGTCTTTTCACTCTGTTGGCAATTTCTTTTGATGTGCAAAAGCTTTTTAATAAGATGAGATCCCAGTTGTTGATTCTCTGAAGTGTTTGCCATGCAGTTTGGGTTTTGTCCATGAAGTCTCTGCCAATACTTATGTTTAGACCCTATCTTAAAAAGTTTTGTTTTTAAAGCTGGGGATGTAGCTCAGCATGAAGGCACTGGGTTCAATACCCAATACCACAAGACAAAAAAGAAGTAGCAATCATTCGTATTACTGAGAAGATGGGAATTTGGGTTATTTTTATGGTTTGGGCTTTGTTCTCTTTTACAGTTACCCTTGTTTCTGTCTTGATCCATTCTAGTCACTAGCAAGGTATGCAACATTTGCATTAGTTGGCATTATTTGATACTCTACATCAATGAGTAAAAAAGTACACATTAAACATTGGCATTCTATTAGGGAAGGACTAGAGTTCTAGCCCATTATGAACTTTTTAAAGGGGCATATGGTTCTGGGGATTGAGCCCAGGACATTTGCACTGAGCTACATCCCTTCTTACGTTGCCCAACCTGGGCTCAAACTTGTGATCCTCCTGATTCTACAGAGGGTATACTGTTTTAATGGAAAAGAAAGTACTGTATTTGTGGAACCCATGAACAGGATATTTAGTTTTTCTTTGAGATAAGGGTCTTGCTATGTTATCTAGGCTGGCCTGAAGCCCCTAGGCTCAAACAGTTATCCTGCTTTAGCTTCCTGAGTTGCTAGGGCTCCAGACATGCACCACCAAACCTGGCTAAATATGCACTTTAACAAATATGGTACCACATCGAATTTTCAAACAGGACACAAACTAATGTGATCTTTCATTTTTATGACATTCAGACAATGGCAAAAGTAGGGGTTGTGTTCATCAACTTTTTTTGCTGTGGCAAACACTGAGAAAACTTGGAGGAAACATTTATTTTGGCTCCTGGTTTCAGAGTTTGCAGTCCCTGGTCAGCCGGTTCCGTCGGTTTAGGCATATGACAAGGTGGAAACATCACAGAGGGAAGTGGCAGAAGAAAGCTGCTCATCTCATGGAAGCCAGGAGGCAGAGAGAGGTAAAAAATCAGGAAGGAGGTGGAGGAAGTCACACCACTGTATTCATTCACTTCTACCAGGCCCCACCTCCTGTTCCCACTGTCTTTCAATACGGACATCAAATTATGCTATCATCAAACTGGGTGTGGTGGTGCACACCTGTAATCCCAGCACTTGGGAGGTTTAGTCAGGAGGATCGGGTCGGGGATATAGCTCAGTGGCATAAGTGCCTGCCTGGCAAGTGCAAGTTCCTGAGTTTGATTCCCGGTACCAAAAAAAATAAATAAAACACAAGCCGG